GAAGTGGGGAGAACAGGCAGGTTCCGGGAGAGCAAGAGAATAAAGCCCCCCATCAGAGTCAGTAAGGAGTCTTCTTTCTGTGGCAGAATTATTACATGAAATACAGTTTGAAGGTCAATAGTTATCTACAGAGTATTCTGTAATGACCTCCAGAAAAGTAATTAGAATCTCATGAGGCCACGTGAGTGCCCTGCATACGCCCAGCCTCATGGGTGATGGGTGTTGTTGTTAAAATCCTGCTACAGTTTGGGCTGCACACCGCCTTCTGGTCCCTGCGGTGTCCTAACCTGCTTCTTTACAGGAACCACTGAGAAATCACTCTGGCTACTTCTGTGTAGTGAATATTCTTTTAGAATGACACAAGATGATGTGAGATCACACATGTATACAGCCACTGGGGGATGGGATGTTACTTAACCTTATTATACAAGGTCTTACTTACTGTAGTACACATGGTGCGGGAAGAAGCCCAGAAACTCTGGGGCTGCTTCTGACCTTTAATGCCATGAGGCTGGTGTCCGATTGATGAACTTGACTTTTATAATTTAACTGAGTGTGGTCCAAAGTCATTACAATCAAGAAGGACCCATTTGTCAACTAGATCACAATTGTATAGTGTTTGGTTACAATCCTATCAACTACTCTTGTTCTTACAACACCATTTAAGGCTGCCTCGGATTAAGGGAAAACATCCTGCATTCTTACAGCATGCCTATGTATTTCAAGACATCTAGTGGTACAACTTCCTCTGGAGCGGGCGGGGACCAGGTGGCATGCCCTCACCATCTTACTGGACCTTGTTTTGTTTGTGCCTGGCTTCCAGAAAGGAGCTAAAGAAGACTACAGGAACTACCAGCATGACACCACTGTCACTGACGTGGTTCCTTCAGTTCTAGAACCCAATCTACACCTGGAAAGTCAGAGGGAAGGGCACAAACACAAAGACAGCAAGTGATGAATATGGGTCCTCTAAAGTCCCCAGGAACTATCATTCAGACTATCTCTTTTGAACAGTATTTCAGGGTGAACTGGAGTTTCCTTAGAAGCACATCTTTCTAATTATTTCTGTTCCTATGAGCCCCGGAACAGACCCCACACATATACACCCTGGTAAACAGAAGTACAACCTAAGATTTTTTATTTATTGTATAATTTAACTTTTTCTTAATACTTTACTTTTTGTGAATACCCTATCTGATTTTAGCTTTATAAGTATTCATTTAAAATTTTTAATAATAATAATGTAAATACTTTAGAAATTCTATGTGCTATATATCATATGAAGTGAACTTCATATATTATATGGTATTTGAACTACACAGGAGGGTTAATTCATTTAAAAATTGAAATATTCCTAAGCATGGTTTGTTTTTAAATATGTTCTGTGGGTTTTCCTTTTTGTTAAGCAAATAATCCTCTTTCAAAATTTTAGGTTCCTATTTATTTTATTAATTTAAGCCAAGCTTTGCCTGCAAATGATATACAGACATACAATTTTTAAAACAATTTTCGCTTCAACATATGAGCTATCATCTGTCACATGCTGTGTGTCAGGTCTATCCTAAATAGTTTACACTCTCCCACTAATCCTAAGAGATCGTTGTTTTTTCCCTATTAATAAAGTTTTATAAACCTAACGTTTAGACAGTTAAGGAACTTTTGCCTGATGTTTGCATGGGGTGCAAACTTAGATCTGAACCTACTATTTCTCACCCAACGTCATCTGCAAGTATCTTGTGTATCTCTTTGGACCAGAAAGCATCTCAAAAGTGACCTTCTGAGGATGGTGATAGAGGTTAGCATTTGAGCTGTCCATGTTACAGACAAACAGTAGGTGGACAAGAGGCCTGGCCACGGTAGACAGACTAGAGGCCTGGCCATGCAGAAAGACTAGAGGCCTGGCCATGGTAGACAGACTAGAGGCCTGCAGACAGACTAGAGGCCTGGCCATGTAGACAGACTAGAGGCCTGGCCATGGCAGACAAACTAGAGGCCTGGCCATGGCAGACAGACTAGAGGCCTGGCCATGGCAGACAGACTAGAGGCCTGGCCATGGCAGACAGACTAGAGGCCTGGCCATGCAGACAGACTAGAGGCCTGCAGACAGACTAGAGGCCTGGCCATGACAGACAGACTAGAGGCCTGCAGACAGACTAGAGGCCATGCAGACTGACTAGAGGCCTGGCCATGCAGACAGACTAGAGGCCTGGCCATGTAGACAGACTAGAGGCCTGGCCATGGTAGACAGACTAGAGGCCTGGCCATGGAAGACAGACTAGAGGCCTGGCCATGGTAGACAGACTTGAGGCCTGGCCATGCAGACAGACTAGAGGCCTGGCCATGCAGACAGACTAGAGGCCTGGCCATGGAAGACAGACTAGAGGCCTGACCATGGCAGGCAGACTAGAGGCCTGTCTACAGCCACAGTACACATAGATTCCATCCAAAGGGGTTTATTTTCTAGAGAAAAAAACAAAACCTTCAAGTCTCGCTTATAGCAAGGTCAGTCTTGTGTATCTTAAGAAGGATTTTATACATGAAAGAGAATAATAGTAAAGTAGAAATTGTGCAATTTGGCCCCTATAACCCTACAAAACGATTGTCTCCCCAACATGATCTCCAGGATGGGCCCTGGGGAGTAGAAGAGGCACTTGCTCCTGGCCCATTAGGTAGTACTGGGTGCATGGCCCCACAGCCAAGAGCCAGGTCAGGAGTTGCCGAGTTCCTCCAGCTCCTGACAGTCCCCAGCTGCCTGTCCCTTCCTGTTTCTCCACACGCTGACAGGAGGGATTTTCTGTTCTCTTTAATGTTTATACAGAACCTCCCACCTTGGCTCCATGTTACTCCTTTACCAGTTACAACTGACAGAGATGCTCAGAGAGGAGGAAAGAACTGGACTGGACTGAATTCTAATCCGGTATAAAGCAGGGTCTCGTTCCTGCCTTTGGCTTAAGATCAATACACAGCTGCACAGCCAGGCAGCTTCTGCTCCTGCCTCTTTCTCTGCAGAATGGAAAGAACTAGAATGTCATTTGATGACAATGCTTCAAGTGACAAGATCAACTTCTTCCACATCAGAATGGCAAACACTGAGGACCAGCCCATGGGGCAGTCATCTGTCAAGGCTGTTTACAGCCGTTTCCATGGTGAATCTGGGTATGAACACACCCCCATAAGAAAATGCTGTAGGTTTGTGTCTCTGCAACTACAGTTGTCCTCTGGGGCCCTTTCTTTCTTTTTAAAGATTACTCTTATTTTCTGTGTGTATGTGATTGCCTGAGTGTATGCATGTGTGTGTGCCCGGCACCCGTGGAGATCAGAACAGGGTATCAGATCCCCTGTAACTAGAGTCATAGGTGGCTTTGATCTGCCCAATGTAGATGTTGGGAAACAAACCTGGGCCCTTTGCGAGAGCAGCAAGTGTTCTTAAAGACTGAGCCATCACTCCATCACCACTGGGGCTTTTTGAAGGAACAAAAATCTGCTTCAACTACAAAAGGTTGGTCAGATGGAAGCCCAAAGGGACCCAAAATGCAAGCGAGTCTGCACAAGTCTGTTTTAAGAGTCACGTTGGCTCCATGCAAATCTGAGTCTTCCTATGCATACAGATGAAATGATCTAAACTAAGGCAACTCCATCCAATACCGGGGCCTCAGCCCTGTGCTAACTTTTACCCCCCTGTGCGTCTTCCTTTTCCTCTCCTGTGTCCCTGATTGATGTGTTGCCTAAAGGAGAGGGTGATTTCACTCAAGAGAGACGAAAACTGTACATCTATACTTGGCCCAGCTCCCAACAGATGTCATGTGATTCATAAGCAAAAGCAGCAGTGGTCAATAAAAATGTGGTAACATTGGTTATCCAAAGAACCTTCCAGCTCTCCCTCCACCCCTCTCCCATCCCTACTCACCCCGGGGAGTCCATCTGCAGCAGAAAATGTGAAGGCACTAGGACCAGAGAGCCCTTTCCTGCTACTCGCTTGAGAAACAAAGCCTTCCCTCCTCCCAAGTTGAAAGAAATAAAGGAGAGTGGACTAATGGGAGCTGGTGGGAGCTTCAGCTTGTCAGTGACGTGACTCAGCGGAGAAAGTAACGGCTCCGAGCTTTGCAGAAGAGTGACAGAGGGAGAGAAACGGAAACAGAAAGAAAGAGACAAAGAAAGACATTAACCTGGCCAGGAGTCGAACAGGTGCTGGGGGCCCAAACGCTGACACAGGAGGACATGAGGAAAGTGGCCGTGTGCCCCCGTGGAGTCACAGCTGACGATTAATGTGGGGGGGTGTACATCGGAATGGGTGGGGAGATTTGTCCCCCCTTATTTATAGGACGGGTGAGGGCCTTCGGCTTCTCTCTACATGTCTGTCTGGAGTCTTCACTGACACTTTCTGGCTCCCTCTGCTGCATTCTGCTGGATGGAGAAGAAGGTGGCCAGGCCAGTTCTGACACACACACCTCCACTGTGATTTACAACCTCTGGGTGTCTTTGGAGTGATGGATTTGTGAGTACTGGGGCTGCCACACAGAGTGACAGTGTGCCTTCGCCTTGAGCTGCTGCATGCTGCCTTCCAAGGCTCCTCTGGACCTCTCACTGTGCTGTGAATGACTAGGTCTCCTAAGTGTCCTCATCTTGGAACTCGTTACTGAGGAGCCCGGGCAAAGGAAACTGAGGGGGATTGTCATCAGTCTGTACTTTGGCTTATAAGCAGAGGAAGGCCTAGGGTGCGACCCTTGGGAGAAGGCTCTATCTGAAAGACAGCACCCCTCAACTGGGCTGCGATTCAGCAGCACACTAACTGGGTAGCATAAAAAGGATACCATCTCTGATGGATTTTCATCTCTTGGATTAAAAACGTTCAAGTGTTTGATAGCCCCGTAAACTGGGAAGACCGGGTGCCTCCAACAGACAGTGACTGCGAGCATGGATAAGCCAGGCCTGCTCCATCCCCATCCCCCACCCCCTGCCCCTGTGCAGGAGTGGGCTTCTAGTGAAAGCTTGGTCTTTACCTGAAATGCGCCTGGGCACGTCGGTGATGGCGGGTAGCCCAGTGCCCCGTGTGGAAGACAACGGCGTGGTGGAGTGGATGGATGGGGACGTCATCTGGCTCAGGTATGAGGGGTAGGACTGGTCGTAGGACCACGGCGGGGAAGACTGGGCCTGCCTGGGATCTAGAGGAGGGAAAAAAAAAGATGAAAAACAAAAGCAGTTCAGTATTCCAGCTACTGCAGCCTTAGAAACATGCAGCCCAGAGCTTAGACAAAGGACAGAAGAGAAACGAGACTACAAAATAAATAACAGTAATAAATATCTCCCACGGCCTCTCCATCTCGGGCCTCAAATAGCCCAGGGCTCTCTAGACTTGATGTCTCAATGAACACGACAAAATGAGCGAGCATAAGGCTCATTTGTCTCTCTTATGCATAAATATTTCTATTTGGAAAGTCCAGTGGCCATTTAGAAAACAATCCATTTTGCTTATTTTACAAAGAGGAATTTATTTTATTTATTCTTGGTGTTTTCTAAAATTCCTTTCCCAAACACTCTTTTTAAATTATATTTTTCTGTCAGTTAGCTCGTTTAACTTTCCAGAAAGATGCAGACTTCTCCTTTAACCGTTGTTTATCTGGCTTGCTATGCTCCGGTGGTGTTCTTTTGGTCTTAAAGGGTGTGATTCTGTGCTTCTCCTACAGTGAGCTTTCTTTCTGGGAGGGTCAATGGAATGGCATTTTCTAACAGGAATGGGGGTACAGGGGTGAGGAGGCAGAGGACAGGGACGGGGGTGAGAATGGAAGACGTAGCGTGCACACTGACGAGAAAGGAAGGAAGCAGGATACATTATCTCATAATAAAGTTTAAGCAGAAAATAACCTTTGAGAAAAGACAGAAGGCAATTTTAAAACCAACTGTGATTGAATATTGAAAAGCTTCGCTGCCTGCCATCCAGGCTCCAGGTCAAACACGTGTGTTCCTGGTGGCAGGAAGATGACCCCAACCAGGAGAAGAGGCAAATGTTTTAATCCCACTGAGATCTGTTTTAGAAGTGTCATGTGTTTGGACTGTGGCTTCGAGGTCCCCATAGTCACTGATAATTTAAATAATGGACAGAAGACTGCTCAAGGTTAATTGGCCAGAGCTGATGACGTTTTTGTTGGGCTCCTAGGGGTTTCTGAGAGCTGGAGGCTCTGGGCTAAGTAGTTTAGTAAAAGGCCATTCATTTGGATAGGAAAAGAGAAGGTTTTGTCTTGTTTCCCTTTGGGCCTACACCACCTGGCTTTCCCAAGGGGTCACCCATTCAAGCATTAAGTAGGCCCAGCCCTGCTTAGCCTCCAGGGTCAGGTGAGACTGGGTGTGTTTAGGATGGTTTGGGCAGAGATGAGAAGGTAAACTTGTTACTATTTCCAAAAAGATTGTGCACTATTTTAATCTTACTCAAAAGTTGACAGAATCATAAGCAAATTTCACCTAATTAATTTTAAATACTAGCTTAAAATTGTTATGCTAATTTTAAAAAAATTAAGAGTTGGCTCTTACCGGATGTAATTTGAATATAGATGTATTGGTGTATTTGAATATAGATGGTCTTTGGAATGTTTACAACTAGGTCAGAACTACCTCTGAGATTTCTACTCTCTACGTGGCCTTGGCCACATAGAGCCTGGGTTTCCTCATCCATAAAGGAACTCTTATAATAATCCGGTCACAGGAATATGAGATTACATAAAAAACTATTAAGAGACCACTACAACAGGAGACTTTCAGTACAGAGATCTCCCTTTTTAAAGATTAATTTGCGGGCCGGGCGGTGGTGGCGCACGCCTTTAATCCCAGCACTCGGGAGGCAGAGCCAGGTGGATCTCTGTGAGTTCGAGGCCAGCCTGGGCTACCAAGTGAGTCCCAGGAAAGGCGCAAAGCTACACAGAGAAACCCTGTCTCGAAAAAAAAAAAAAAAAAAAAAAAAAAAAGATTAATTTGCAAATGTCTATGTCTTTGTATGTGTGTTCACATGAGTGCAGGTGACTGCAGGGGCCAAAAGAGGGCACAAGATCCCTAGAGCTGGGTTACAGGCAGTTGGGAGCCATCCAACGTGGGTGCTGAGAACTGAACTCACACAACTCTGCAATACATAATCCCAATCGCTGAGCCATCCTCCCAGCTCTCCTTCTTACATCCTTATCTTAAAATAGAACAAACAACAACAACAAAAACAAAAAAAACTCTTCATAGCAGATTGTGTGTTCCATACTTAAAACACATTTGTGATGGAGTACCTTTGGAATAGGTATAAAATTCTCCCATTGATTATTATTGTTTGAAAATTAACAGCTTAATTTTTTAAAAATGTATCTGAACAGTCAATTCAGGTTTATTCCTCAAAATAAAAATGAATACATAACAAGACTCAGATTTTTCCTAGGCTATTTCCTCTTTTAAAGCCTCTGGGTTTTTTTCTATGTAGTCGAAGCTGTTGAGTTTCAGCTATTTCTTGTTTATTTGTTCAGTTTGGAAACAATTTATTTAAAGACTATCTAAATAGAACATACTTCCTTGAGTGGAAATAATTAAATACATCTGGATATTTATCTGATGTTTACTGACATTAATAGATTGGGGGGGGCGCACCCAATTCAAGTTTAAGGACCATTTACCCAAGTTTGTGATTCAAGGAAAGGGTAAGTATTAGCATACATTCTCCAGAAATCTAAAAGATACTTAATGATTAAAAATAATGAATTTCTATGCTTTAAAACTCTCAAGGTTGAGACTGTACAGATCGGCAGCATTTCAACTCTGAGTGACTGGTCCTTGTTATCCTCAGATACTGATATATTCCCAGCCTTCCGCCACAAATGTAAGTTGCTATTTAGAGAAATGGGAAATCATCTTCAGATGGAGAGGGGTTTGTTCCTTACAGAACAGGAAAACTGTCTCATAAAAGCAAGGGGCTGGACTCCAGCACATTCTCAACAGATGAAAGAGACCAATGCCACACAGCTTACAGAAGGGGGTCCTGCAGGAATAAAGGCTGCTGCGTTTGCACGGTCTGGATTTGGCTGCTCCAGACAACTTCCTGAACAAGCAGTGTGATCTGTGCATCCAGCCTCAAACACAACAGGGTGTCAGTGGAGTAGTCCACCTTGCCTAAACTGGGGGACATCACAACGAGATGCAAGGAATGACTATAAAGATCAAAGGTGCCACCGAGGGAGTCAGGGTGCTTAAATTGGTTGTAACACACAGCCTTATTCCTTCTCTTTGTGCAGAGAGACAGCCTAGTACAGTGGGAAATGAACAGGCCTTCTAAGGAGAGACCGTGGGCTGGAGGGTCACCAGACTATTTATAAACTGTATGACATCAACTGGGTGAGCAAACGCTCTGAGCCTCCAATTTCCTCATCTGGTAAATGAGGCTGCATAGCATGCCGAAGCTACTGTGGCCATGAAGACAGATGGAGGCCAGGCTTGCAGCTCCCCACTGTGTTGAGTAGGTCATTTAAACTCCTTGGCCCAGTGGTTTACCTGTACAGTGGGAATAGTGATCCTGATTGGGTTTTCATGAGCATGACATGAACTATGCCAGATCTGATCATCTATCTGCCTCTCACAGTGCCTATTAAGTAGATAAGAAAAGAGGTTCCATCTGTAAAATGAATACAATAATAACTACTGTCATGTTTGGGAAACTAGATGAAAATAAAGCGTTTGATAACTTCTACAGTCTTTGTTAAAATCATTATTGGGCTTTTCAGCTCACATGGGCAGGTTCTACCTTCTGACCTAGAATGGAACGTCTTTCTTAGAGCTGCTGAAATTAAAGGAAGGTGGAAATATCATCTCTGAATTAGGCCCTCACAACTAAAATCAAATAATACACAGTGAATGACAAGT